AAAAAAAAAAACAACTCTTGGGGCGCCTGGGTGGCTCAGTTGGCTGAGCGTCTGACTTTGGCTCAGGTCATGATCTCACGGTTCATGAGTTCGGGCCCCACGTCAGGCTCTGTGCTGACAACTCAGAGCCTGGAGCCTGCTTCGCATTCTGTGTCTCCCTCTCTCTCTGCTCCTCCCCAGCTCGTGCTCTGTCTGTCTCTCTCTCTCTCAAAAAATAAACAAACATTAAAAAAATTGTTTTCTTTAAACTCTTCAGTTCTTAAAGAACACGGCAAAGCTCTTGTTATGGCTCAAAAGGACACCCACAATCTATTGTCCACCTGACCTACTCATTGTCCACTGCAGAACCTCTACCCTAACCAACCTGTTCTCTCCAGTTCTGTCTCCCAACTTTTTAACCACCATTCCTTTGCTCATGTTGCTCCCTGTCCTTATCAGCAAAGACCTTATGTGAGCAGACCCTCTGCTTATCAAAATCCAGCCCACCTTCTGACATCTGCCTTCACGCTGCCTCCTGTGACTACGCAGGCCAAAGTGGTCCCTTCCTTACTGTAGGCAACTACAGGATGCCTAACATACATCATATCCAGGTGTTATGAACTCCACAGGTGGTACTAGTGTCTTCAGTCTGGTAAAGTTAATTACATTTTTATAAAAACATCTTACATCCTGGGGGCACCTGGGTGGCTCAGCTGGTTGGGCGTCCAACTTCAGCTCAGGTCATGAACTCACAGTTCGGCAGTTCGAGCCCTGCATCGGGCTCTGGTGGTGCGGGGCCTGCTTGGGATTCTCTCTCCCTCTCTTTGCCCCTTCCCCACCTGCACATACTCTCTCTCTCCTCTCTCTCTCTCTCTCAAAATAAATAAATAAACTTAAAAAAAAAAATCACAACCTAAGATTATAAATTGGTGAAAAGCAAGAACTGATAGTACCCAGCACATGTATGAAATTCATAAAACAGACTCACTGATGAATGGGTTAAGCGAAAAGAATCCATCACAAGTAGAAGAACACTCCTCTCATGTACACCAAACGCCTGTACTCTCATTCATCTTCAGAAAGAGTATTTCCAGCCTTAAAACGAAGTGAAAGTAGTTTCCACCTACTTCCCTCTAAAATTATCCCCGACCAGTATAAAGAATGAGAAACAAAACACAAACTCCATTTTCCAGGAAACTACGAGATACCTGCAAACCCGAACCAAAATAAGAGCTCAGAAGCTGGATGAAGGCATTTTAAATGGTTTAGCGCTGGAAGCAGCCAGCATGCACAGGGGGGACTGGGATGAGGTGCTGAGAGGAAAACAGTGTGGGATAGACAAGTAGCCATTCTGTGCAACTTTTTCCACCAAATCACCCCCCAAATCTCGGCTGGCCTTACAACTTATTTTGAAGAACACAACGTGACAGAAGTGATGAGACTCAGTTCCACGCCTACGCCTCTGGAGAGAGACTGCAGCCCCCACACTCACCCCCACTGAATGCAGGAAAGAGCCCAGCCCAGCCCTACCGGAAGATAGAAGACTACACAGAACAAGGAGGAGGGTAGAGCCATTCAGTCCGGCTGAGGCTCCCCAGGCCAGCCAGTCTGCCAACTGTCAGACGCGTGTCAGGGGCCATCCTAACCAACCTCCCCACAGAACGGTGACAAATCAGAAATCATCACTGTTTTAAAACACTCAGTGGGGGAGTAATTTGCCTTTAACAAAGGTTAAAAGACATTCGGGATGAGGTGAAGCTCTGGAAAAGGAAGGGGGTGGGGCTCCCCCTGCAACTTCACTTCCTCTTCCTCGGATGAGAAAGTTAGGACAAGAAACTGCATCTGTGAAACAAGAACAAGATGCTATTAAAAAGAGCTCTTGGAAATTATATTCATATTTACATAACAGAAAATCTTAAACTCAGTAAAAATACTGGAATATAAAGTCCAAGAAATCTTCCAGAAGGCAAGATAAAGAGATAAACAATAGGCTCAATGTGTATATAATAGAACAAAAAAAAGGGATCAATTTTAAGAGATCCAATATCTGACTAACAGTTGCACAGGGTTTTTTTTTTCCCCCTTAAATGAAAGAAAAAATCTTCAGAGAAATAAATTAGAAGAAAATTCCCCCAAACTAAAGACTGTAAGTTTACACAGTCAAATGTTTCACAACGAATTGGGGCGGGGGG